CCTGTGACTTTGGCTGTAGTAAGCAGCAACTGTAAGAACATTAAAGTTCTTAAATACATCTAAACAGTAAACTTATGTCCAGGAAAAAAAAGCCCAACACACCACATTACTGAGCACCAATGCAATGTCAGACACTCACCTAGTAAAAAGCTAACTACTAACCACAGGAATGAAACTGGGAAAAGCAGTTACCAATATTGGTTATGAAAGATCCTTAGTGCATGTTTCTTGAGAAGCAATGGACCCTTGCAAGGCAGACTCTCAAGTACCACAGCACCTCCTGAGGAACAGAGCTGCTGCTCATGGTATACTGATCTGAATAGTGTAAACACATGACAAGTCTACCTCTTACAGCACCCTGATCTAAATTTTTTAAGCTTGAGACCTATAATGCTGAATACTGGATATAAATTCCATTTTCTTTGCACTTCTGTTGCAAGGCAAGTAGTTATTTCTGCCTAGTTGAAAAGCTTTTCATCCCATTTCAAGTGAACGAGACATCTCTTTTTCAGGCTGTTTCTCCTAACCCCATCAGAAAGGTGGTTACCAAAACCACACTGCAATAAAATCAAATACAATTTATTCCACCTCCCAGCGAGCTGAGGATTTAGCTAAGCTATCAGAAAAAAAAATATAGAAAAAAGGGAAAATAAAAGGTCAGACAGGTTAACTACTTCCAAAATGCAAGTTCTATTCCTGGGGAAATGGTATAAACTGAAGGAATCTCATGCCTTAAGAATAGACAAACCACAATAAAATTATGAATGCAAACCACAGAAATGCAGAAATGCAAAATACATCCTTTCCAAAATCCCTGCAGCCTCTTCCTGTCAGCAAAGGACAGTGCAGGTTTGCACAACCTTGTGTGCATGAACGCATGTGCAGTCACAGGACTTGTTTTTCCCTCCACCCTTGGGTCACATTATACTATGGTAGAATAGATTTCCATCTTCAGACATTCTTTTTGATGGGAAAAAAAAAAATTAGTTTTGCTCAGTTTCATTTCTTCCCTGCCAGCTGTAGCTCCTCAGACAACTGCAAAGCACTTCTGTACCTCCCCAGAGTGCACACTTCAAAGACATATGGACATTTAGCTTGTCATTTCCTTATATCACTTTTGCTTCTCTATATTTCTCTCTTTAGGTTTTTCCCTCCCTCTCTCCTCTAAACTATTCATGCTTACACGCATCCCTAGACAGCCTTTCTCAGCATTTTTCCTGCAGTGACTTGATAAAAGTAGGGCTGTAAAAATCTGTGTGTGCAACTCCTCAGATGAAAAATGCAGTACCAGATTGACTGACACAGTTGGCAAATACAGACAGAATTCAGCAACTAGTTTCAGCCAAAATTTTGATAGGAGGAAAGAGGTGTGTGACTGAGAAAGCTGAAAAAATTCACTCCGACATTTTCTGAATTTCAAAACCTGTTCCATTTGAAACAGTTCATTTATGGGTAGGCCACCAAACCAGAAACAAACAAACAATCCAACCACACTTCCAAACTAACAAACAATTAAAAATCAAATGCACAAAATGTTTCAATCCACCAATTTTTTCCTTGTATCCCATGGTTCCAACAGGACAAACCAGTGCTTATTTTTAGATCCTCCCTCCAGAACTATGGCCCTTTTCCTCTCTGTGTGTAGCTGATTATTCATATATTTTACTCAGAGCTGTGTCTGATATTACTCCAGGGGCCTCACCTCTCTGTCATGCTGTGGCTCACTTGGGATGTGAAGCAGTGTCTCTCTGTTGGCTGTGCAGTACTGAATGGAATTCACTCAAATGGTTACCAAAGTATTAAATATTTTTCTTTTTTCCCCCCTAATATGTCCACCTTTATCTGTCTTTGAGTGTTTCCATCATTTCTGCTTTTGGTGTTCCTTTTGCTGTAGGTTATTTTCACTTCTCAATTCTCTCTGCTTATGTGCATTGAAACTCTCTTGTGTGACTGAGTGTTTCAACTCTGCTCAGTTTGAGGCAGAATTCTGAATTTGCATATCTCATGCACAGAAATCCACACAGTCCAGGCTTCAAGGACTAGCCAATAGTCATAGAATCATAGAGCCAAAGTTGGAGGAGACCAACCATTAACGTGTCACTGCTGTAACCCCTAAACCATATCCCTGAGCATCAGATCCAGATGCCTCTTCAACACTTCAGGGATGGTGACTCCACCACCTCCCTGGGCAATCTATTCCAGTGTCTGACCACCCTAAGAGGGAAAACATTTTAGTGTAGCTTGCTAAATTAACAAGCACAACCCAAAACCAACCAGCCCCACCTAACAGAATAAGGGAAAAAGCAAATAATTGAACAAAGACAAGTAAAACAATGCAAAGTACAACTGATTTGCACTGAAATGAGTTTTACAGTTTACAGCCCCTCAAGTACAGTTACTTACAGCAAGGTAAGATGCATGTGAAATTCTCCTGTTCTGATTTAAATAAATATTAATGCCAACACAGGTTTGGAGTACAAGAATCATAATCAAGCTGATGCTCAGAATTTTAACCTCACCTTTCCAGTAGACTTTGTTCCTTTCCAAATGCAAAAATAGCAGATAGTCCAGGCAGCAAGGAGGCACAGGGCAAGTTCCCAACGCAGATTCCCAATGTGCTCAATTCCATCAGATATAGCCAACACCCTTCGTCTGGCAAGGGAAAAAAAAAACAAAAAGCTGCTAATATTGAAGGAAAACAGCATAAAACACTGGGCCAAAGCTAAACTCACTTCATCGAAGGATTCCTAGTAACTCACTCCTGAAAATGCACCTGCCAAGCTAGGAAGGAAGTCAGAAGGAAAAAACAAAATATTCTCAGTGGATTTTATATCTGATTACAAATGAATAAAAATTAAACTTTTTCAGGTCAGTAACAAAATAAAAAAGATTGTAAAATAGTTTTTCCTTAAAAACAAAGAAAAATATTGTTTAAATAAATTACCTACATATATAAGCCTAAAAGAACTCCATCAATAAATGTTTTTTTTTAATTTTACTGATTTTTTTCAGAAAGCTAATTCTCACCTTTGTATTTATCTTGCAAAATTTATTTTCATTAATTTCCTTTTGTAGCTGAAACTATAAATTAAAACATTTATTTTCAAAACTGGCAAAGATCATGATATTTTCCAAATAGATTTTGTTTAGGAAATGCCAACTCTAAAATGGTAATAGACTAAAAGCAAACTCTTCTTTTGTGAAGAGTAGTTAGCAAAAGTATTTATTGCATTTGTTGTTTGAAAAAATCAGCCATTCAATTGTGAAACTCTAAGTCCTCATGCTGTAGGAACACCTCTCACAGCTTTGGCTGGGGCCAAAGTATTTACTAACTTGGTAAATAAGGTAAAGAGAGAGAGTGAAGAGACTGTTTGTGGGTTCCTTTAAATAAAGAAGAATTTGAAAAACAAAAAGTAAAATGTGTTTCACACAGGAAAGCTGCACAACTGGCCATGAGTTCTAGTTTGCAGAAATCTAGGCTAGGATTTCAGTCGAGAGAACTGTTCTTTTAATCTAAGAATTATGCTCTTCTCTGGGAGATGTACAATCCTTTTATGTCCTTTTTCTTTTTACTTTAAATAAACACTCAGATTAAATAAAATGTCAATTGTTCACTAGCCTGTAAATAAAACATGGGTAGTCCTGGGCATGTGAATGAAGAGGTTACAAAAAAAATTTAGTCCTGTAACACTCACAGATGTCATGAATTCTCCTGAGATTCCTCAATTGATCTTAGGCCTGAAAGAAACCCTATAGATAACTAAAGGGCTTTTTTGGTTTTTTAAGAATCTCAATTTTCCACAACAATCAAAATATTATTTGACTGGTGAGGTTGATATGGATTTAAATTCCACACACTCAGAGATTTGGAAACACCTGAATACTTCTAAACAACATAAAGCAACAGATGCACACGGATACACGTTCAGGGAACAGTTTACAACACTCAGCCTTACACAAATTATCCTGAGCAAAGTTTTCTTTGAAATCTGTATTACAAGTTATCTACACAACCTGAGAGACCTTAGACTTGCAATACCCTCCCTCCCACAGTGGGAGAGAAAATGAACTAAATTTCACTGATGCTCTGACACAGTTTAAAAACCTAGAATAATCACTGTAT